AGCCAATGAAAATCTAGGCTAAAGATAAATGCAGAATGATTAACTAAGTAAAACCAATTCAGATAAATATACACAGTATATTTACATCATCATAAATCCTACAGTATGCATTTACCTGTTCTGTGGATGTTTGGTTGAAATGAAAAATGTCTCTTAGCTTGATGTCGAGGCAGGAATCTAGAGGAGGATTTGGCAGTACGCTGTCCATCATGCATCTGTAACAGTGCAGTTTACATTATGTTAAAGCAATAAGGATAAAATCTGATCCTATTTTTTTGTTAAAAAAGTTTGAGTTTCCTTTATTGTACTGTTAAGTCTTAAAAAGGTAGAATTTGTCTGCTAGAGCATGACATACAGAAGTAGATATTGGAAACAAGCAGACATAATTGATTTGGGTTTGTTAGATTTTCTTCAACATACACAGGGACACATTTTTAATTACTGTCAAATATTCACATACTTACCTTATAATATCTAACTAAACGGCTTTTGGATTTTTGAGACATTCGATTTAGTCAATAACCAGGCTCTAATCTATTCCTAGATGAATATTTGATCATTTTGCTTGGTATTCAGTGTACTTTATTGGAATTGTTTGGTTAAATAAATCAAGAAAATCAAGCTTATGACCACAGCCCACTTATTTTCAACAGCAATTAGGGTTGGCGATCTGGAAAAGCCATACCAGAAATGTGACGTTAGTCTGCTTTCAAACCGCATACATAAAACTTGCATGTGGTTTCAAATGTTAAAACTGTAAAAATCTAAGATGGTTGTTTAATACGCAATGCAAAAATACCACTATACTAAGCAATATTTCTTTTCATATTTTTCTTTTCATGTTGTATCTCTTGCAGCCTGAAAGCTCAGTTTTATAGTTTAGGTGCAACATAGAAAGATTGTTTTAAATTTGGAATGCTAGGGGTGCACCACTAATCTGCCAATTCCAATCTTGGCTTCTGAAGATTTTTTTTGTTGTTGTTGTTACCCTTTACCAACAATTTTCCATCTTATTTTATACAAAAATAGTGTTAACAAAAAGTTTAGAGCATGTATCAGCTAATTATTTCACTACCAATAAAAATTATAGAGGGAACCAATCAGTGCATCCCTACTTAAAACATTTGTTTTATTTATCTGATAATAATAAAAAAAATGCTTAGATGTTAACTTTTTTTTGCTTTTGTAACCAATTTTCTCTTTTTTATGCATTCTTATAGCATCACCATTTGCAACAAAACCTCAGCATGATGACACCACCACCGTGCTTGACAGTTAATGCAGTGTTTTTGGGGTTAACAACTCAAATCCAAGCATATTTAATCTAATCTGTTGCTAAGGTGAAAATTTATAAGAGACACAACCACACTCCTATTGAATAATAGCGGTGGTGCAAGTGTATATTCAAGCCAGTATTTTCATTTTGACCTGAAGTGGAGAATCTCCTCGGTGTCTTTACATTGGAAGACACAGAGTTCTCATATTGAATTTAGAAGCTGCATGCAGGATTTAAAGGAACTCGTTAATAAGAATATTAAGTTACTATTATTGATTATTATTCTTATTGTTAAATTATTTAAGTTATACACTAATAAACACATTCTGCTGTGAACACTTACAAAAAGAAAACATTAAAAAAATTGGTAAACCAGATAGATAAATGTCAATTTCTTCCCTTCACAAAGCATCAATAGCTGATTAGTGTTTTGAGATAAATAAATTTGTTTCATTCATTTTGGCAAATACAAACTTTTTTTTTTTTTTAGATTAAACAGTTAGGAAGC